AGCTTTGCGTTTTGTGGCTATTGCATCTGGATGTATGGTAAAAACTAATATAAAATGGTATATGCTTTTAATTTCATAAATGCTAGAGGGGTCATCCCAACCAGGGAAAACAGCAAAGGAAAAAAAAAAGTGTTAATGGAACACAGCTCCCTTGCTTTCTGCCACAGGTTGGCAGATTGGAATTGAAACTCTTAGTATTGGAAAGAAGTCTCTGTAACTGATGATTTTTTGCTATGATTTTACGTATTGGAGCCTTTGGGAAAAGGGAACCAGTGTCCAGAAGAAGATACATACTTAGAATTTTAGACAGCAGTTTTTATTTTGCTAATGAGCACTTGTAAAATCATTCCTGACCACTTAGGGGATGATGATTTTCTGCGCTGATGTGTTTATTTTTGCTTGAGTCAATTTGGACTCTAAGTCTGACAGGGTGAAAAGTGCTTGGGAAAACCTGGCTTGTCACTTGGACTTGGCACACAGGTGTCTGGCCCTACAGTGTCTCAGCTTTGCTGCTGCTGAGGAAAAGCTGCTGGTATTTTTGATATGCTGAATTCACAGATCCTAATTGCCTGAACCTGATTTCAGCTAAAACCTGATACTGCCTGCTATGGGCTGTTTCACTGTCAGCACTGAGCTGTGTTCAGCTGAAAGCAGGCACAGGCTCAGTGAAGGGAACTCATACTCTGGAGCTGCCGGACATTCATTTAGGACACCCCTCTGTGGGGCCCTAGCTCTGAAAACATCTGAATGCTGGCTGGGCCAGCTGGATCACTTGCAGGTGCCCTAGGGTGGGGGTTGCTCTCCAGTGGAGCCATTTGAGATAGAGTTGCAGATGGGCTCTGTAGTCCCGATGCAGAGCGTGATTGCGGTCCTCACCTGTGACTCCTGCTGAAAGGTGGAGTTGTGGGAGGGTGCTCCCGGGGACCCCTCTGCCCGGCTGGCAGATCAGACTCTGGAACCCCAGTGCGGGGTGGGTGGTAAGGGGAGATGCCTGAGTGCTGTTGTGTTCTGCTTTCCCAGATTAGCTGCCATTTGCAACAGTGGACTGACAGCCTGACTCTATTTCCCTCACCTTTCTCCTGCTGCACAGGCCTTAGGAAGGCCCTTGGATCATTCAGTGCAGCAGTCTTCAGAGAGGGTTTCATCTTTTCTAGGCTGTTCATCAGATAAATGATCAGGACAGGAGGCATGGGGGAAGGAGGGATTATCTAATCCATTTTTTTCAAATGTCGAAAAATCAGACTTTTGTTATCGAGCAAGGGCTCATGTGCCCATGGCACAGAAAGCCAAACTCTGACAGCGGGTGTTTGCAGCAAAGTAAGGGTTTATTTGTAGGGTGCCAAGCAAGGGAGTGGAAGACAAGCCTCAGATCCACTCCAGCTTGGTCTTTGAATTAGGCATGTTTTCAAGGGGAAGAACAAAGAGGCTGGGATTAATCATCGTCTTGTGACATTTCTGAATCGGGGTTTCGGGAGCCAGGTGGTCCATGGCTTGGGGGTCTGTGAGCTCACCTTGCCCTGGAGAAACAAACTGAATTTGTACATTATTATATCTATAATAGCAGTTTTAGTACATTAATGGTGTTATTGACAACAGCACTTTTAGTCATCTGACTGTGGTTGATTAGTGTTCAGTTCGCACAGGATTGAGGTCAGAGGAGACAAGGAAGGGAATAAAGTTTTGGATAGAGAGATTAATCATAAACTCGGTAAGGAAAACTGGGTTTTAGGGGGGCTCAGTTTCAATTTCACCCTGACCAGTTCCTGAATATGACGTGTCTTTTTGGTTCCGTTCTAAAAACATTATTCTGTTAAAAAGCTTGTGTCCCTCTTGCAGATAAAAGGTCTGGGCCAAAAAGAAATGATTAGGAAAAATTGTAAAGCTAGGATTAGTGAATAGGACTCACAGATTTTGTAACAACAGAGAAAACAACCAAAACACCCTTGGCTCCTGGTAGGCATGGGGCGGGGTTGGGGCATTCATGATCTTTGTTTTTCAACACTGCTTCTGGAAGCTTTAGGCTCTTGCTATAGAAGAATGTTCCTTCATTCTGCCTTGCAAGCTGCTGTGGGGGCGCGTCAGATTCAGATGGACAGCCAAGCCCAGATCGCTTATAACTGCCTGTGAGACAGCGGGGGCTGGCCAGCTCCTGCGGTCCCTGCTCACCACCTCCAAATGTAGTTCACCCTTGGCAGGTGACAAACCAGTGTCGCTGGCAGAACTGTTTGGAATAGACTGCCTCAGGCAGTCTGCCTGAAAGCAAGGAGTGAACTGAATGACTCGGACCAGATTGAGAACCCGAGGACAGGAGGAACCACGGTGGGAAGCCACATTGGGGGCCCTGTGAGCCTAGGCCGCCTGCCCAATATGTGTCCTGCGTGGAGTGCTCGAACATCGGAAACTCTTTGTTTCCAGTGCACCCTCGGGGATTGTACTTCTTGGATGTGTGCCCTGACTATTCTGACACTGCCTCAGCCCTGCAAGGCTTCGGGTCAGTCTCATCTTACTGGCCAGAGCTCTGCAGGGCCCTGAATTGATACCTCCGGCCAGGTTAAAAAAAAGAAAAAAAAAAAAAAGGCTCATACAGGAAGTTATGGAGGAAGGCACTTGGCTTTCTAAGATAGACCTTTGTGGCTAATGGGATATGTTTTAACTGGCTTTGTGAAGGACCCGTACAGGGCACCAATGAAATCAATTCTGCAGGCTGGCCTCACCCTGATATTCTCCTGACCATAATTCTGTCAAGACTCCTTGCCTAAGGGCCAAGGGAGTGGATTGCAAAGACGAGTTCACATACCAAGAGTGAGACTGCTATCCTTAGAATGGCCTGCTTGCAAGGTTGACCCTTGGCTGACATCTGGGAACTTCGATTTGGGGAATGTTCCCGCCCTTCCCTAACTAACTCTTAAGAGTGGCTCACTGGGCCTAGAGTGTTTGTGCAAACAAGGGGGTTTATGCTGAGACCCTGTTCCCTTTCTGTGTGTTTGGAATTTTGGTACATACTAGGTAAAAGGTGCTCATGTGACCAGCCCTCAATAGAAACCCTAAATTCTGAGTCTCAAAGGGCTTCCCTGGGCAGAAATATCACACCCATGTTGTTGCATTTTTATTGCTGAGGAATAACGTGCTTGTGACCCCCCATGGGAGGGGGAGAGCAAAAGGAACCCTGCACATGGATTCCTCCAGACTCTGCCTGTGTCTTTTCCCCTATGATCTGGCTGTATATCCTTACCATATCTCTGTAATGAGTCTTAGCCCTGGAGACAACTATAGGCTGAGGCCCACGAGACCTAGCAAATCCCTGAGTGGGGTGTTGATCTTGGGGTCCCCCAACACAATCACTAATGGAAATCTCAAATATTTTCTTATCACATTATAGACGTAGATTATTTTGAAGTTTCAATTCTATTGATCACTGCCTTGAAATTTAGATATTAGACCTGCCACCAGATAGGTTTCTGTGTTGATAAAGATGTATATTATTATACCACATTTCAAAATATTTTTAAAATTTAACATTTTTTTAATGGAAGTATCATTGATTTATCAAATGGATGGACAACAAGGTCCTACTGTATAGCACAGGGAGCTATATTTAACGTCCTGAGATAAACCATAATGGAATATTAAAAAACAATGTAAGTATATGTATAACTGAGTCACTGCTGTACAGCAGAAAGTTTAACTTTTTTTATAAATTTATTTTTGGCTGCGTTGGGTCTTCGTTGCTGCGCGTGGGCTTTCTCTAGTTGCGGAGAGCGGGGACTACTCTTCGTTGCGGTGCGTGGGCTTCTCATTGTGGTGGCTTCTCTTGTTGTGGAGCACGGGCTCTAGGCGCACAGGCTTCAGTAGTTGTGGCACATGGGCTCAGTAGTTGTGGTGCACGGGCTTAGTTGCTCCACAGCATGTGGGTTCTTCACGGAGCAGGGATCGAACCCGTGCCCCCTGCCTTGGCAGGCAGATTCTTAACCACTGCGCCATCAGTGAAGTCCAAGTTTAACATTTTTAGTACTATGACATAATTTATTTTCTTTGTAATCCTAAGTATTTTATTTGCTGCATTATTCTGAGAGACTGATTCTGAGATGTCCATAGGATTCATCAGACTGCCAAAGGGGTTTGCACAAAAGAAATTTCAAGACTCCTTGCAATGGGTTATTACCCTAGATTACCTAGATGTATTAATCACTGATGGGCAATTTATTACCTATCAGTGAATAAACATTAGGTGCCCTAAATTTTATCTGGGGACAAGGAAGAACTAGTTCTACTGATTGCATTTAAAGGGGCAGCAGGAGCCAACAATAAAGTCACTATATTTCATACCATGCTCATTCAATGTGACAGTTACATATATAATGTATCTAAAAGGTGAGATATAATTGGGGGTTTATAACGATGTTGATTTTTCTGGAACTATAGTGCCTCCTTATAGAATGTAAGTTTCTTGTTGAACTTTACTTACTGTGTACAGAAAAATCCCACACCAAAACTCTGAAAAATCTCCTACTTCACTTTCAGGTGCTTCTCTGATCACAGATTTCCACTTGACTTGGTACAAAGACAGTCTTGCACACAGCCAATGGGAGTGGAGAAGATAGAGCCAAGTCAACCTACAAAGACAATTTTTGTTTATGTTGCCTAGGTTTTTAATATTTTTTGAAGCCCTACTTAAACCCTGATGAACCTTTTCGCAATCAAATTAGTGGTTAACACCTTAACATTATAAGTTAAAGTTACAAATTTGATTTTGGCAGGTTCAATGGACAGAGTGGCTAAACTTGTGAAAATAGCATATGAGTGTAGTCCCCCTGCTCGTTCCTTAAAGATGTACAGAGATGTGTTACCTGTTGGCAAAAGTTTTCCTTTGCAATGAGACAGTATGGAACAGAGGATTTTCTAATTGTTTGTAACTAAAGTTTTTCTTTAATTGAATACAAAAATACTATGCATGTAAAAATAATAAAGTTTATTTTACTCTGTTTTACACTCTTCTGCCCACAGCTCCTCATTTGTGCTTCATGGTGAACTGCATGTGTGTGGCCCCCGTGCCTTCATTACTTCGCACAGAGCATCTCCAGCATCATATCATCCATTGTGACTGGGCCGATGATGGGCCTGAAGAACAGTTCGGCCAGGACATTGGCATTGATGAATCTCAGCAGGAAAAGGGTGCTGTTCAGTTCGGCAAATCTGGCCTGGTGCCCCCTGTGTGTCACCCTGACGTGTTCACGGAGTATCCGCTGGGTTCCCCACTGAAGTCCCTGGATGTACTTCACGCACTGCAGACCTGGTAGGTCTGGAGGAGAAAAAGGGAGAAAAATCTCTTTGTTAGAAACAGCTCACTCTGAGCCTTTTGCTAGCTTTTTAAACAGATCCAATTTCTGCCCCCTTCTCCAATTAAAAAAACACTCAAGCTTCCTGGTTAAAAGTTCTTTTCAACAGCAAGGATAAAGTGCCAAACCACTTCTAAGGTTTCAGGAGCAACGCTTCCAAGAAGGAAATATCATGTAATTATTCTTATTTAATATTCACTGTTTGTATGCTCACATTTAAAAACTGCTGGCCCTGAGCCAACAAATGCACACTTAATTCAGTATGACAGTAGAATATAGTTTAATGAATCATTGCTCCAGTTCACTATCTATGCACGTACAAAGAAATTAAAATTATTTCAAGAAGTGTGCACCTTTTACCTATGGCAAACAGGCCTTAGTATAAAGGCAAGAGGCTTTGCTAGGTAATATTTTACCATTCTCCCTTGAATTTCCCACCACTGTAATGATTACCGCCCATGGTGGTAAACTTCACAGCCACCAACTGTGACTGACAGTCTCATTTAAATTATTTGCCTGCAGGCTGATTTTAGTCTACAGTCCCATAATAATTTAAGAGATAACTCTGGCCACTTAGCTCATTGTACCATGATTTCTGTACTGGGGAGGTTTTTAAAAAAGTGATTCAAATGAGCATTCCAAAGGGTTCTTTAAAAAAAAATAAAGCAGTCTTTGAAAGCATTGTCTTACAGCCATCAGAGGGTTAAAAAGTAAACGTGGGGGCTTCCCTGGTGGCGCAGTGGTTGAGAGTCCGCCTGCCGATGCAGGGGACGCAGGTTCGTGCCCCGGTCCGGGAAGATCCCACGTGCCACAGAGCAGCTGGGCCTGTGAGCCGTGGCCGCTGGGCCTGCACGTCCGGAGCCTGTGCTCTGCGGCGGGAGGGGCCACAGCAGTGAGAGGCCCGCAAAAAAAAAAAAAAGTAAACATGAAAACATCGATTGCAACATGGTACAAAAGTTACTTTTCAAATAAAGATTGCATGACCTTCTTGCAGTACAGTTTGATATCCAAGTAAAACTGAATGAAATGCAATGCAGGAAAGATTAAATGCCTCTAAGTTTTATAAAGAACGTGATAAGAGGAGACTGCTTTTAAAAGTCCTTTGATCCTCCATGATAGTAATATTACTGTAAAATTCTTTAACTTGTAATTAAGAAATTACCAATTTACCATTCGGTTTAAATGATGTTGATTATTGTAATCATTTTCCTTCCCTTTATCTACAAAATCCAACAGAAAAATATTTTAAAAGCATCATGCTAATAGTCACAGAGTAACAGAACCAGCCAGTGTTCTTTCAAAAAAAAATAATAGCAATAGGCAAGTCATTTCTAGTACAAGCAAATATCAAATCTGATAAATGAGAACAGAAATACAGCAACATCTCTAATCCATATTCCAATTCTGATTACCCCAGTCCACGGATTACCATCCCATACTACCTACAGCTCATTATCCAGGCTTGAGACCCAATTTTATTGCACTTGGATTCCATTCATGAGGGTAAGAAGAGGCTTGTGTGAAACCACCAGAAATCGGAAGCTCCCCCAGGTCTAAATTCATGGCTTATTAAAACTTCATCTTGTGAACTCCACTTTGCTCTGCTTTCATACCACACTCCTCTTTTCCCATCATCCCCTAAAAGTGCCCCCCCCCCCCAGAAAAAGACTTGCCTTCAAAGTAAAATCAAGAAAGAGAAAAGGCAGATAGATGGACTCCATGGGAGGCGGGAGGGAAATGTTTAAACTTAAAGGTCAGGGGATACAAAATGATAAACAGCAAAGAAAGGCCACACACTTAGCAGGCATTACTTTTTCCCAGATGCAGGTATATTTATGTTTAAAGCACACCCAGCTTAGCTGGTTAAACTTATTTGAGAGAGGATTCAGAAAAGCAGAGCAAGAATAAGGGATGCAAAACAGGGTGGAGGGAAAGAGGGGAACTAGTGGAATGTAAACTTTTGAAAGCTAAGCCCTTGTCTTACCTTTTTATTCCAACAGAACAAAGCACATGGTAGGTGTCTAATAACACAGCTGAAGGAGCGAGAAAACACTGTCTTCCCAATGAACCACCTGAGGCACTTATTATGGATGCAGATTTGCTGACCCTCCACCAGAGCTACCGAATCAGAACTTGTAGAGGAGGGGCCCGGAAAGACTTTGAAGGACCGCCTTCCCTGCCAACACCACCAAGTGCACAGGTAGGTTTAGAAAACAATGATACAAGCAAAAAGTGACCTATCATGATCACTGGGATGAGCTGAGGTCTCTTAAGTCCTGAAATGTGAGGTCTGAATGAATTATTATCCCACTAAATCCTGCTCTATACCCCTTCAAAAGTGCTAGGCAGGAGGCAAGGACATGACCCTGAGACTCCTGGTGTCAGGAAAAAAGGATGTGGAGGGAGCATGATAAATACTCTCCCAACTCAAGCTGCCTGGAAACTTCCTGCCCACTTGTGACCCCTCTGGAAGGATGCTGGTTGAAGATGACTCTAGTAGTAGGACATACTCGAGACAAGGTGCTCGGCTGTCCAGGGAGATTTTCTCCAATGAGTCGGTTGCACTGTGTGGGGCAGAGTGTCCAGCACCCAACAGACAACCTGAAAGTGTGGTGCAGCAGACATCCCCTTGGGCCCAGGAGACTGGAGACCCATGCTCCACAACTCACTGGCCATTTATTTTGGAGTAAGGTCACTTGGGACTAGACTACCTAACCTGCCAATGGGATGAGGAAAGGGTGAAGGGCAGAGGGGGTTGATTAGGAGGTCTCTTAGGTGTCTAAAGGCTCTAAAATACAGTGCTCCTGCATGCAGTCTCTAACATGTCTTTCTCCTACCCCTTTGCTAACCTGATACTTACAGACACTTAGGTGATGAGACAGTCCAGCTGCTTAGGACCATTAAAAGGACCATTAAAATGACCATTCAGAGACAGACACATGAAACACTAAGTCCAGTGTCCTGTCTGACAGTGTCCCCAGGGGATGGTGTCTCTGTGGGTTCTTAACAAATATTTCCTCTCTTGCCAGCCTTAATAGACTTCCTCCAACCAAAAGGTTCTAGTAAATTTCAGAGCTGGGTTTCAGAAAGAGACGTTGCAAAATTTGCAGTGAACACAGACTTTTTTTTTTAAAGCTATACTACTGGATTTAAAAGATTTGAGAAGGAATAGCCATGTCCCTGAAAGCACAAACTTTTCCGTAGTAACAGGTGTAGAGAGATTAAGTACAAACCTCAACAAAAAAAAAACCCCTCCTCTCGGCTGAGTTTCTGGCAGCACCCCACCCACGAGGAATGGTCTCTGGAGCTCCCCCAACTCTGCTGAGTTTGTCATGATTCCTGACTTGTGCCCCCCAAACTCCCCTAACAATGAAAACTCTTCAAGTGTCTGTGCCAGGGGTAGGTACTGCCCAGTGCTTGTAGGAGCAGAGAAAAGCCAGAGCCGAGGCCGGCGCCCTTACCCGGGTTAAAGAGCACGGTCCCCTTGAGGTAGGCGTACTCCTTGGTACTGATGTCCAGGCTCCAGCACTTGGCGAGGAAGCCCTTGATGGCTTGGACCTCGGCGGCCAACGGCAAATGCTCGGCCTCCGGCGGCAGTACCAAATGTGGCTGCGGCTCGTCGCCCTCGGTCTCCCGCCGCCTGGTGGTGAGGATCTTCTGCAGCAGGCTGGGCTCCGAGGTCTCCACCGTCTCAAAGTTCAAGCGGTCCTGGGCCAGCTCCAGCAGGAGTAGCGGCGCCCAGCAGCTGCGCACCAGCACCAGCTGCTGGTCCAGGGGCAGCACCTGGAAGCAGGGCAGGTACTTGACGAAGCGCAGCGTCTTCAACAGGCCCGCCGAGGCTGCCTCGCAGACCACCTGTGGGCTCTTGAGGGCCACCCGCCGCTGCGCGCCGCACGAGGGGTCCCACAAGGGGCCCCCCGGCTGTGCCTCTGGAGCCACGTGCGTTTGCTTTGCGCTCGTGGGCACGTTGCAGAGGATGCCGCCCTGCCGCGGGTGGTCTTCACCGCAAAAGCAGCAGCGGTACGGGAGCGCCAAGGCCCGCCCGCGCGGCAGCTCCTCTCTGCCCCCCAGCCTCTGCGCGCAGTAGGAGCGGTCCCACCACGCGCCCCCCGGCCGCGCCTCAGGAGCTTCCGGAGCCACGTGCGTTTGCTTTGCGCTGGTGAGCAAGCTGTACAGGATGCTGCCCTGCCGCGGGTGGTCTTCACCACAAAAGCAGCAGCGGTACAGGAGCACCGTGGCCCGCCCACCCGGCAGCCCCTCTCTGCCCACTGGGGGCTCCGAGCCACAGGAGCAGCCCCAGCACGCGCCCCCCAGCCGGGCCTCGGGCGCCTCCGCAGTCTCCTGCGTTTGCTTCGCGCTCGTGAGCATGTTGTAGAGGATGCTGCCCTGCCGCGGGTGGTCTTCACCGCAAAAGCAGCAGCGGTACAGAAGCGCCACTGCCCGTTCACCTGGCAGCCCCTCTCTGCCCACCGGGGGCTCCGAGCCACAGGAGCAGCCCCAGCACGCGCCCCCCGGCCGTGCCTCGGGCGCCTCCGGAGTTGCGTGCGTTTGCTTCGCGCTCATGAGCATGTTGTAGAGGATGCTGCCCTGCCACTGGTGGTCCTCGCCCGCCATGGCCCGCGGTGCCCGTAGCCCGGCTCTGTCCAGTGGCCGCCGCCTGCAATCTATTTATACCGAACGCGCACGCACGCGCGTCGGCCGTCTCCGCCTGGGCAAAGGCGCGGAGGCGGGCGCGGCGCTCGGGTGTGTTAGCCCGTGACTTCGGCGGTTCAAAAGGGGCAGATGCTCCTTAACAGCTGAAAACGGCAGAGGAGCAGAGCCGTGGGAGCTGCCGGAAACTTCCCTCCTTCTTCTCATTACGCCCTTCCCTGCGTCTGGAAGACAGAACTCGGCGCAGGGAGCAGGTATTTGGCGGCACTGTTCCAACTTTTTCCATTGAACCCTGGCGTCTAATTTGCTCCCTTTACTGGGAAGGCAGGGGTACCGAAAAGGGGAAAAATCTATTTCTGTGCCATATTTGCAAACTTTCATTAAATGACCAAACTTTGTATGGCTTATTTTGTATATGGATAGGGAGGTCTCATTTTAAGGGACGTTGAAAAATATAGACCATGGACCAGCAGTGTCAGCGTCATATGGGAACTTGGTAGAAATGCCCAATCTCAGGCCCCAACCAGACCTTCTGGCTCTGAATCTGCATTTTAACGAGGCTCACAAAGGATCCGCGTGCACCTTAAATGTGGAAAAAGCACTAGTCTAAGGATGCTATCATAAGCTTATTGTTTAATTCAAGTAATATTTATGAGCACCCACTGTGTCGTAGGTGTTGTGTTAGAGAGCTGGGGGCAGCGACCAGGTTATAAAAGTGGCTAATATTTGGGAATATAATAATCACAAGGGGCTAAAAAGTTGCTACAGTGAGAACTTTGGATTCTTCTAGAGATATTATATTGGGTAGATGTGCAATTAACATTTCTTCTCCCACCGTTTCTAAGCGAATAACGAGCAGCACAGGTTTCAGGAAGCCTGGATCTTTTGTTCTCACTTGCCACACAACCTCTTTGCTCATGCTCCATACGGTCAATGAGATCAGTGGGTAGTTCCACATCACCACCTGACCCTTGTGTAACTAGCTATTTCACCAACCATCTGGTTAACTTGAAATCACAACCTTTTAGCCCTCAAATTTCTCATCTCTCAAATGGGAGGTTTATTTAGTGATCTCTTGGGTCCATGACTGAAAACATGGAGCAAGGAAGGGGGACTGGTGTGTACCAGCTGGTATAGGATCCCACTTCTCTCTCTCTCTCTCTCTCTCTCTCGCTCTCTCTCTCTCGCTCTCTCTCTCTCGCTCTCTCTCTCGCTCTCTCTCTCGCTCTCTCGCTCTCTCGCTCTCTCGCTCTCTCGCTCTGTCGCTCTGTCTCTGTCTCTGTCTCTCTGAGACCTGGAATTCTGAGCATAAGAGGAAAAGCTAGGTGACGCTTATTTTGCCTTCAACCTGTAATTTTATTTCGCCTGTGAGAGGCCCTATAACAGTGCTTAAACCTCTGCTCTGGCACCAGATTGCCTTGATTTTAATTCTGGCCCTGACACCTAGTAGCTCCGTGGCTTTGGGCAGTGTATTAGTTTCCTATTGTTGCTGAAACAAATTACCACAAATTTAGTTGGTTTAAGGCAACATAAATTTATGTTACAGTTCTGGAGGCCAGAAGTCTGAAGTCAGTTTCACTGGGCTAAAATCAAGGTGACATTCCTTCTGGAGGCCCTAGGGGAGACTATATTTTCTTGCCGTTTCCAGCTTCTAGAAGCTGCTTACATTCCTTGGCTCCTGGCCACATCACTCCTGCCTCTGCTTCCATCTCCTTTCTGACTCTTATAAGGATCTTTATAATTACATTGGGCAAATCCAGATAATCTAGAATAATCTCTCCATCACAAAGTTCGAAATTAAATCCCATTTGGAAAGTCCCTTTTACCATGTAAGCTAACATCTTCCCAGGTGTTGAGGATTAGGACATGAACATCACTGGAGGCATTATTTAGCCTTTCACAGGACAGTTACTCAAGCCACCTGTGCCTCGATTTCCTTATTTCTACAACGCGGACAATAGTCTCTGTGAGGTAATCCTCCTATGTGAACTAATTCATGTAAAGTGTTTGCTTGGTACATGATAAGTGTTGGATGTATCAACTGTTATCTACCCCTTTTTAAGATAATGTGGGATAACTTCAGGGTTAAGAGGTAATATAACCCCTGCACCTATCAACTGTTATCTACCCCTTTTTAAGATAATGTGGGATAACTTCAGGGTTAAGAGGTAATATAACCCCAGCACCACCATTATTCTCTCTCTCCTAGGAAAGCCTGTCCTCACTCTCCACCCTGAAGCTGTCTCATTTTTTTCTGCATGTCCAGATTTCTTGGCCCAGATTCAGAACACTGGATGGGTCACCTGGTCCACAACAATAATATATATTGGAAATGTTATCTCATTGCCCCCTTCATCATTTGCTGTTTCCAATATTCAAGCTACTGTTTAGGGTACTGTTACTGCTGCTTCAGCTATCTCCCTGCTTGATGAACCCACCAGCCAGCCTTGCTGAAAAACCCAGCCTGCCTCAGTCCCCTCCTTAAGTTGCCAGTGCTCGTTACTTCTTATTGTGTTCCATTTTATTTTCCTGTCAATGATCAGAATTGGGTATGATTGATTGATTTAGTTATTTGATGCTTGTTGATTATCTCTCCCAACTAGTATAAAAGTCCCTTGAGGGAAAGGAATTAGCCACGCTGTAGCCCAGCAACTAGAACAATGTCTGGCATACACTAGGTGCTCGAAATTATATTTGTTGGCCAACTGTATCTTTAGCGAGAGAGAAGAAGGCTGTAGCTCCTACTCTCAGCACAGAGGGCAAGTGTTCCCACACAACTGTGGCTGCACTGAACCTGGAGGAAGAGAAGTTAAGAGGCCCCGTTGGACTCAGAGCTTTCTGGAGGCCTTTTAAATTTTTTTTAAATTTTTTTATTGAAGTATAGTTGATTTACAGTGTTAATTACTGCTGTACAGCAGAGTGACTGAGTTATACATATATATACATTCTTTTTCATTTTCTTTTCCATTATGGTTTGTCAGAGGATATTGAAAAGAGTTTCCTGTGCTATACAGTAGGACCTTGTTGTTTATCCATCCTATATATAATAGTTTGCATCTGCTAATCCCAACCTCCCACTCCATCCCTCTCCCACCCCCCTCCCGCATGGCAACCACCAGTCTATTCTCTGTGTCCGTGATTCTGTTTCTGTTTCATAGATAGGTTCATTTGTGTCACATTTTAGGTTCCACACATAAGTGATGTCATATGGTATTTGTCTTTCTCTTTCTGACTTCACTTAGTATGATAATCTCTAGTCGTATCCATGTTGCTGCAAATGGCATTATTTCATTCTCTTTTTTTTTTGGCTGAGTAGTATTCCATGGTATGTATGTATCACATCTTCTTTATCCATTCATCTGTCAATGGACATTTAGGTGTTTCCATGTCTTGGCTATTGTGAAGAGTGCTGCTATGAACATTGGGGCACATGTATCTTTTTGAATTAGAGCTTTGTCTGGATATAAGCCCAGTAGTGGGATTGCTGGATCATATGGTAATTCTATTTTTAGTTTTCTGAGGAACCTGCATACTGTTTTCCACAGTGACTGCACCAACTTACATTCCCACCAACAGTGTAGGAGGGTTCCCTTTTCCCCACACCCTCTCCAGCATTTGTGATTTGTAGACTTTTTGATGCTGCCCATTCTGACCAGTGTGAGGTGGTGCCTCGTAGTGCTGATTTGCATTTCTCTAATGATTAGTGATGTTGAGCATCTTTTCATGTGACTATTTGGAGCACCCCCCCTTTTTTTGATACACAGAGTGCTACACGTGCTGTGGTAAAGTTACAAGAGGACTAGGTTGACAGCCAGAAGACATGGCTTTGAGTTTGGGCCCTTCCACTCTAAAGATATAACACTGAAAAGTCATTTAACTTCAGCCTTCACCATTATGGAATGGGGAACAATTCTATAAACCAGTATTAATGTGTACAGCCTGTTTCAAGTCATTCAAGGGGTCTTCTTCTTATTTCTCTCTCAATATAGCCCTTTACAGAAATGTTTGCTGACCTCTTTGCTACACTGAAAATATAAAGCAGCTTAACACTCATTAAGTTCACAGTTATGAGAGCTTTACACTCATCCACTTTCTAATGATTTAACATTGAGCAAAGCATTTAGCACTGTGTTAGCCTTTTCAGCTATGAAACCAGAAAAAAATGCTATAAACTATTTTAATATATGTATCCTAGCCATGTATAATTCAAGGGTTTTTCTAAGAATCTTTTATCAACTATATATTTTTTAAATCCTAGTAACTTAAATCCATTTTTTGTGACTTTAATCATCCACACCTCGCACGTATTTGATGCTTTTGACTTTGACTTTCAGGCATTGTCTCAAATTGAAACGTCAGTGCAGTGCCGAGAACCATGAACTTGTAATATAGTGGTTATAATTCCTGTTCTTTCCCAGGAGCAGTCTTCTGACTTTCTTACTTGTGCTTTTCTTGAAGTTGCGATCTTCTGTTCGCAACTCTGAAGGACTTTCTAGGTTCTTTGGATTGACTGTTTGGAAGAAGAGATTACCTGCTTGTCCTTCATACATATTCATCCTTGGAAATGTCAGGAGAAAATGACTTCATCTTTCCACTTTCAATTTTTTTCCCTGAACAAATAGCTCCCGAGAAACAAAATCATCCAAACAAGTGCAGAGATTCCCGTCAAGTTATGCCAGGCTGCTGGTTGCTACAGGGTTAGTGAAGACATAACCTTCTAAGGTAGGCACAGGCTTCTTCATTTGATTTGTTCCGTGTCCTCAGGTCACCATGACAGCTAGACAAAAGGACACTCATCACCTGCACCTGTCATGTGCTGAGTTTGTCCACAACTTCAATTTGGGTATTTACACGGAGTCATTGTTCGATGACCTCGGTCAATTGGACACCTGCTCTGTAGAATCCATTATCTGTCCCAACTCATGGTGGGAGTAAAGCTGCTCTGCCTGCCTGAGTGTAACCTTCAACTTCAA